ATATCAGCTTCTCAGTAACCATACTACAGTGTTCATATAATCTTAAGGGTATTTCAAAACGTTACGAATATATTCGAAACTGTTTCTAGACAGTTTCCCAGCCGTTGCAGATTATCTATTACAAAGAGCTCTTCCGCATCCGGTACCCATCACATTTGTCAAAATATTTTGACATGCTAATTGGTTCTATCGTTTTTTTATCATAGGTAAAGACACTCCTGCACCTGCTTGCCTCACCTTTGACATGATATGTGAGAACCGGACCTAACCTTCATTACCTATTTTCCCAAGAGACACAATCTGCTATTGACTCCGCCCACTTTTAGCCCCGCCCCTCTACCCCATATCTTGAGATTGTTCATTCTCATTCATCACCATTCAAGACGACTCTCGAGTCTCTAGATTTCTCTCAACCTACTCATCTACTATCGACCTCACGATGTTTGCTTACAACAATGGTTCCACGCATTTCACAGGATGGGATTGCGCCCCCAATGGTAAGTATTTCGAAAGAACCTTTTGATATATTCTATGCTCGTCGATATAAAACATATCAGTCTTCAGAAGTCACTTTCTGATTTTTATGCCATTATTCAACATGAATATTTTCCAGGTTTCGTGCCGACCTACCAGCACCAGATGGAAGGCTTTGAAAATTTCCATGTTCCGTATGAGATGCCGCTAGCCGTCACCACGTCTTCTCACTCGTCTGGACAATATGGGTCAAGCTTCCAAATCCCAGCATATTATAATGGTGGATATTTCAACTCGTCAAGTCAGCAGGATTTCCGGAGTCACGTTGGACCAATCCACCGAGGATATGGAAGACATCAGACAAATGGAATGCCATACCAAGTCAAGACTAGAACACCACTCCAAACAATGAATAATGCGAATCAGTATGCTATCGAACAAAACCACTATCCATATAATCTGGAGAATTTTCAATTCCCACCATTTCCAGAAATTCCACAATCTCATCTTGCTAATCCACATTTTTCAGTTTCATCAACTTCAACTTCTTCTCCTTGCAATCTTGCTTCTTCTCCATCTTCATCAATTTCATCCCCGCCAGTCTCAAAAGTTCCGAAACTGGATGTTTCTCTACCTGAGGGTACCATTATCGATACCACAGACATTCTGAACAGATGTGAAGACTCGAGGACGTCTTTTGTTTACAAAGGAAAGTTTTTAACTCAAAAACAATTTTCAGAAATGGTTCTCGGGAAGTCTCAAGGATACTATTCCAGTCTCTTCAAACATTCAAAACCATGGGAATCACTGATAGATTCAGGAAAGCAGCTGTACATCAGGATGTTCAACTGGCTCAATTTGGACGACAATCAGAAGCAAGAGTACCTAGAAATCGAGAAAATAAAGGAACAGTTGTTTGAGGGAAGAGATGAGTCAGTTGATCCAAAGCCAAAGAAGAATCGTACGAAGTTCACCAAATTCCAACTGGACAGATTGAATGCTTCCTTCGATGACAATTGCTATCCATCGGCAGAAACAAAGGCACAGCTTGCAAAGGAAATGGGTCTTGCAGACATTTTGATTATCGAAAATTGGTTCTTGAACCGAAGAAGAAGAATGGCAAAGCAAGAGTGATCAATACGGGCGTACTTCAATTTCGGTTATTTCTCAATAAATAGTCCTACCATAAAAAATGTGTTTTTTTCAAAAGCATTTTATTTCTGAACTTTTCATTAATCATTTGTACATACAAGTACGCGATCTCCTGTTCATTTGAGTGCGACTACTCGTCACAATCGATGATATCTTCTTCCGGTGGTAGAAACTTCTAAAATCACTGATTATTTCAATGTTGTCGCTTTGATAGTAAGTACAGCTTACCAGAATCAATGCACGAATTGGTGTGATGGGAATGCCTGTCGACCATTACTGTCCGTTGTATCCGCCTCAACCTGCAATCTTGGTTTTTGAATTTTTGCCAAATCCAGCCCAAGGCTGACCTGCATCCCAATCAACTTTCCATCCTCGCTCCAACAGCTTCCACCGGTGTTCCCTTCATAAGAGCTGCTGGAGCCCAAAAAACGCATTCTTGATGAAATATCGCTAGAAATTGTTCCTGTGGAAAACGATAAGTGAGAAGCATCGCCACGAATGACCGAACAACTCATCTGAAATCAATTCAGTGTAGATAATCATTCAAAATTCATAATGGTTTTCAGAGGAACTAACTATCATGTAGGGAGAAATTCTTGTCATGCCCTATTTAGTTAAACTGACCAAAACGGATTTCATTCCTTTCTTTGGTTCAACCTCTTCGAGAAACAAATTCCTATCGCAGAGTTCAGCGGATTCAGATTGAAGCACAACTAAATCATGGGCGTCATGAACCAGTACTACGCGAGTATCAACCACCACTTGCTGGTTTTTATATGAGAAAAGTTTGATAGAATCTCCTTCCACCAAATTCTTGTTTTCCCCACGACGATAGGTGATTGACAGATATTTCGCAACCGGGATAGCCGACCTTTTCAAATTGTCTCCTTTGGTATAATACCAAGCGTGTTGGCTTATTCGGAACGCCAGATCTCCGTCCAGAAGTATGGATTCTACCTCTCGATCAATCATTTGTCTTTTTCTAGATGTAGCTCCTAAAACAAAAAGTAAATATGTATTCCAGGCTTGGTCGGAATCGGAAAATCGAGTTCTCGATTTTTCCGATTTTCCGATTTTTCTTCGGAAAATTTTCCGAATTTTTTTTCGGAAACTTTTTTCCGTCGGAA